GTACAGTTTTCTCGATGAGTTTGAGATCTAAAAGCTTGATATTTGCAGGCTAGACGTAAAATAGTGAGCTGAACAAGTTTACCTAGAAGCCCAAGACAGGTTATCTTAGTAAAATAAATAGTTATAAGCGTTTTTTGACGAATGAATTTTTAGTTAATTTTTGTGCAATAGATTTGCAGAAAGAGTTCTATGTAAATAATTTATTTAGACTTATATATAAAATATAGTCAGATTCTTTAAATACAATATGACAAAACTATATATAAAAATTTAGCAAAATATGCATTTAAAGAGGTATTGCATTTAGGGAGATAAAAATCTATAGGTGTAATATAAGTTGAGCCCAAGAAAATATATATATTTAGAAAGATTTTTCATAAGCATGTATTTAGAGCAATAGTATTTAGAGGGTCTAACTATATAAATTATAAACCTGTGAGTTGATAGTGCAATAGTTAGCACTTTCAAGTTTTAATCACAAGCTTACAAGTTCAAGTTTAGAAGATAACTAAAACTCTGTTAAAATTATAATTAAAAAAGATCTGCAGAAAATTTTTATTTAAAAAAAAAGCAAGAACAAAATTCATATAAAGAAGAATGCAGTAACTGGCATAGTTACAGAGTTAGAAACAATTAGATAAGATATAATCTGTCAACAAATGACATTAACATTAAGAGAGCCTAATTTAAAAACATGTAGAATTGAGAATATCTAAATTTACAGATGATCTGACTGATGGGTCATGTGAAGTTAGAAAACTGCAAACTAAAGAAAATAGTAAATTCTACACTATAGAATCAGGAACCCAGAACATTATATGATAAACTTAATGAAGCATAAGTTATTTCACAGTTCAGTAATATAAAGAGGTTATACATTGTTTAATAATCTTTACAGAATGATAACTCTGGTCTTTAAGAGATATGATAGATCCTAAAGGTGTCTAAAGACCTTTAAGATAGCAGAAAGAGGTAAAGATAAATATATATATATATATAAATTATAAATTATATGCAGGTCTTTTTTACAAGAAGTATTGAAACTTATATTATATCTGAGTATTATTCTATATTTACAAATACAAATCTATGAATTGTACTCAGATTTTTTATATTGGGAGTATTATAGCAAAGAGGTACTATAATTAGTGTTATATAAAATTTTTAATTAGTAATGTATATGAATAAATAACATAATAAATTACTTAGAAATACTTATTATCATTATATTATTATAATTATACTATTATATTAGATTAATAAAAGAATCATATTTTTGTTAGAAAAATCTATTTATGAACTCTCTCTGACGATCACTTGTACCGAATTTCACACCAACAAAAACGGAAAACTTATTGGAGAAAGTAGAAGAAGCTACTATATAAATAACAGTTTTTATAAAGGTCAAAGTGGTTCTTCTGCACTGGACTCCTTTATATATTTAGCAAGCAAACTAAAAGCACACATATACAAGATAACTGGCAGGAGGCGCCCTTGTATAACAAATTTTAGTAGAAGTCTTGGCTTCTGTTAATGAAGTTAAAATAGTAGGCCTTATAGGAGAACAATAAGCAAGTTTTCAATACACTTACTAGAAATTCAAGGATACCTGCTAATCGAACACCACCACCATATTCCCCGCTTGGTTTTTGACGAAAGTTTTTACAAGAAGTGGGAATTTAGCGTACCCTCTATGAAAGATTTATAGAAATCATCCATTTTGGGAATAGGAGAATCATCCCTTTTCTGGAACTAGGAGTAACTCTAATTGGAGTGAAAAGGCCGGCTGTAGAACTGGTGGGGAAGAAAGTAAACACCGACTCTCTATTATCGAATGACATTTACATATAGTATAGACCTATTTTTAGGATAGAGACTAGAAGTAGTAGTACTATATAATTTTTACAAGTTGCTCTGGCTAAGGCTTCAGCACTTTTTTTTGTTTTTTCTTTTTCTTACTATTTCGTGTTCATTTTGGCTTTCAGAATCCCAGAATCCAATAATTACAACATCATCTGAATCTTTAAAGGTATCAAGATTATCAACATTGACGTCCGAAACAGCTGGTAGCGATTGTCTAAAAGAAACGTTGGTTTGAAATTAGAAAATTTTATTTTAATTATATTGAACGATCTAAGAATATTTACTTTTTCATGTAACTTATAATGAGATCAGCTTTTCTGCCGCCGGTGTATTCTGATGATTTGCCTTCTTTGAAAATTTTCAAAGTAGGATATCCTTTAACACCGTGTTCTGTGCAAAGCTCTGATTCAATTGTACAGTCAACTTTGGCAAGCTTAATATTGTCAGCTTTTAGGGAGGTAGCTGCTGTCTCGTACTCAGGTGCTGTTTATACAAAATTTCCAGATGTACTAATGTAAATAAATATATATATATAACAGTAAAGATTTAAACAAACGGTATAAATTACCAAGCGCTTTGCAGTGTCCACACCATGGTGCAAAAAATTCTACAAGAATCAATTTTTCCGGATTAACAATACTGTCGAAATCGTCTTTTTTTAAGGTAATCACATCCGATTCTTCTTCAGCGAAAACGAAGGACAAAGCAAAAATTACTCCCACCACTATATAAATGAAAAGATTTTTTTTGAACATGTTAATTGAACATCTAAGAAATAGTAAAAACCTGTTTTATATAATCGGCTTTATATAAAAAACATTCTTGCATAGAATTGTTGTCAATTACTGATTGGATGATTACAGTAATTTAAATCCTAATTGTTATCGTTATGTGTCATTAATGCATTGGTGGATTTGTCTGTAACTCAAATTCTGTTAATACCCGATGCATAACGGTGCATAATTTTCTAACTTTACAGGCAACAATTGTCGATATAAAGAGTAATTTATGAATAAACGATTTACTTATACGTATATGATCTTGTCATGCGCGAGTGACGCATCACTCATTTATTATGCGATAGTTACACGTAGTACTTAAATATCGATCGATATTGCGGGCTAAATTGTTTTTCAGAATCCGAACTTTTTCGCTAGGAAAAATAATTTTCCAGAAAAAAAGATATATTTTTTGAAACAAACGTTTCGCCTAAGCAAAAGCTTCATTATGGTAAGTTTCAGTTAATCCGCAACAGAAAAAATTTTTATATAGGAAAGTCGATTTCTCGGAAGATATATAAATATAAAAAAAAGAAACTGTCGATTTCTGTTAGTCCATCTGCGTAGATATCAGCCATAGATGTAAGCGGCTCAGCCCGATTGTACATTAATCATAACAATCAACAAGTCAGTAGTGCAGAACTTGACGACCAATATGAAAAGTTTTCTCACAAATATACGTATTAAGACTAATGATAGGGATCCAAAAATACCAAACTCGCATATGATCGAATTTTTTCTTGATGTTTCGAGATTTCAAATTACGTAGGTTTTAAATGACCTTGATCATGTTATTGTTTACTGCTTTTTATACGTCCGCTTTTTATGTAAAACGATGACAACCAATTATCTCAATCAATTCCTTGGGAAAAACCTGAAATCAGAATCTCGAATCTCTAAAAAAAAAAACCAACCTTATGCTAAATCGCTGAACTTAAAGCTAGAACTACTAAATTGGAACAGAAAGTAATATCTAAGAAAAATCGTAAATTCCAAATAAACGCGTTTAGATAACTAAAAGAAATTCTTAATGAAAACCGTAGGGATAGATCGGTCCAAATCGGTCCCAAGATTGCAAGATTTTGATATCATTTTTTCTTCGTGGCCACTAATTAAAGTTATTTAAATCAAACGTACCAGGTAGTGATCCAAATCGGTAGTTGAAAAATCAACTAGTTGACAACTTTCCAACTAATCGATTACAGTACGGATGGATTGTAACACATCAATAATAATCAATACTAAGTATTACTAAGTTACTATTTCCTGCATGAAGATATCCCTCGGGCGCCATTAACATCTCTATCTATTTTTATATCGCAATTTTTGCATTTGTATGTTTCTGATCTTTCAATATTCTGAATGTTTCCATACCAATTACATGTCTTTGACGTGTAAGCCTCATTTTGAATTATCATATGAATTTCTTTCTCTCTGCTTTTGAAATTAATCATTATCAAAACTTGTAATGAGATTAGCAAAGCATTTTTCTAATTGTTTTCCTGTTCATCATATCTGAAACCTTAAAAGGAAGAATAATAATTATGTCAAATTCATCTGTTAAGAACCTGATTGTTTTTTAATGAATTTTATCTTGCAACTATCTGATCTTTTGTTGTATATGAAAGATAGTTTTGTTAACATCTAATGCTTTCTTCTTCTTTTATTTCAAGATTAAAGATGTCAATTTGTTATTTTTCAATATTAAATTATCTATATATTTAAATAAACAAAAAATATGTTCTATATCATGTTCTCTTATTTTTCTTATACCTTTTGTTGAAGAATACTATGCAAATAGAGTACGAACTCTCAGATTAATTGAAACTACATGAACATTTGCTTGTGTTTTACAGATTTGGTTTGTACTTTATATACCCAATAAAATATTCATTCATTTGTTTTACATATATATATAAGTTTACAATTACAATCTATCTTTTATGATGGATATTTATTTTTTATTTTTTTTAAAATAAAACAAATATAAGTCACATTTTCTATTTTGTAATTCATTGGGTTTGTATTGTTTTGATGATAAAATCAAAGAATTATGAAGATATGTAATATAAAAATGTTTTTAAGTTTTTTTTTGAAAAGTTTTACATATAAACAGTCATTGTCTATTATAAATTTTTTTTGAATTTAAATGATAATAATGATTTTTTAGTTTCTTTTAAATTTTTTTGTATCATGTTTTTTCTAGTTATCAAAACTTCATTAATACTTTTATCAATTATATTTGTAAGTACTTTATTATATAAATCTTTAATATATATTTCTAACTATACAACTGTTTGAAGAAATTTGTATTTTCCTTATACATATAATCTCTGTAATTTTTTACCTTTTTTATTACAATCTTTTTTTTCTTTTATATCTATATATAATTTAAGTTTTTTATTGAGTATATAAGGTTTATCTATTTAAAATTTTTAGAACTATTACAAAAATATTAATTATTGTTTTATTTAACAACAGTATTATAAGCATATTTTATTAAATCTAGTCATCTCTTTAATATCTTTTTCAGAAAATGATTCAAATATATTTTGATTAATAACATTCAAGTCACAGTAGTTTTGATTATTCATTTTTTTTTGTTTTGTATTTTTATTATTTTTATTTTCTATTAGTTTTTATTCATTTTAGTATTTAGCTATTCTTTTTCTTTGTATTTAATAAATAAAGACAATATTGATTACAAGAGTATCTTATAATAATTCATGTTCATCAAAACTTGATTTATTAAAGAAAACTATAAGTTTTATAAAGTGTACTAAGAACATATATTCAATAAAGTCAAATGCAAATCTGCAGAATCAATTATAATAGATAACTACAATTTCTAAAACTATTCCTTTATTTAATCATTTTAGTAAGATTTTAATTCTATTTTTTTTGAAGTTGATACCTAATCTGATATTATTAATAAATTCATAATTTAGAAATCTGAATTTAAAGATTTGTTTCTGTCTTTTAAGGTTTTTTTTGTTTGTTGTTTGGGATATATACATATAGAAAACCTTTTTTTTAGTAACAGAAGTAGTTAAGTTATTATTTTAAGTAATTAACTCTGTTAAAAAAGAAAAAATATTATAGAAATGAGATCTAAATAGAGATGTTTTTGCAAATATTTTTCTCTGTTTTAATCAATATCTTAAAGTTTTAGATGAAATTCTAAATTTTTTAATTGTTTTATGAGCAGATAAATATATAAGAAATTTTCTGAATTTAAAATATTCTTATTTATAAAATATTAAAATTAATAACAAAGAGATATAGTAACTTAGTGAAGTAGTTAAGTTGTTAATCCCTTAAGTAATAGGTAGTGAGTTCAAAATCCACCAATAGTAAAAATTTGGATAATTATCTATGTAATATATAAATAGTATTAAGGTAATGACATTCTGTTAATTAATTAGAATAAGATATCTGTAATATAGTCACACTAGCATAACTGGCAGGTCATAGAGCATCTGTGCAATATTAAAGTTATACAGAGGAATGCAAACTAGCATTAGACAGTACAAATTCAAAATAAGTTCTCATGCCTGTGTAAATTTATAAACTAGGAAGCCAGAGCCTATTTGGAAAGATTCAAGTAAAAAAACTAGCATAGATTTTTGATAGTACTACTGTAAAGGCTAAACCTAGAAAATAAATACCAATGTAAAAGTAATTAAGCAAGCAAGAATCTCAGATAAGAGATACTACTAATCAGACTGCTAAAAGTTTTGAATCAGAAGAAAAGGATCTTGATAGACAGATCTAAGAGTACCAAAAACAGGTTATAGTTTTTTTGAGTTATCTGAATTAGAAATCTAAAGTCAGAAGCAGAGATATACTATAAGTATTAAGAATATGCTATAAAGTTAGTGCTGGAGTCTAAGTAAACTCTGCAAAAGTAAGTTCTGTTAACAAGAGACTAAATATGAGTAGTTAGTTAGCAGAAAAGTTTTTTAAAGCTCTATAGTCAGGTAATATACTCTAAAATATATAATGACTTAATGGACTTACAAACAAAAAGGTCAAGATTATATTAGATAACACTTCGATATACAGAAACTTGTATACTATTTATCAGTATAAGTATAGAGATCAGAGTATTTAAATAGATAATCTTCTAGTAGATTGCAGGTATAATAGTTAGTATAAAATTTGCTATACAAGTAAACTACTTAAAAATAAACAATCAAAAGTTGTATATATGGCTAGTTGTAGACTCATTTTGTATAAGTTATATAACCATAATTAAAATACAATAAAGGCAATAGCTACCAATAACTATAGTCTTAGCAAAAGCAAAAAAAAAATATATTAATAACATAAGCTAACAAAAATATTTTTTTTTTTTTTTTTTTTTTTTTTGCTCTTAAGCAGCCACGCTAGTACTTTATTAAGATTCTTGTAACTATATAC